TATAATGCTTAATAAGAATTACTGTTAAAATTAATTGATTTTCTTTTGAAAACACCATCTGAAAGTTTTAACATAATTTAACAAAATTGGTGCTTTGATGCTACCATAAACACTATTAGTTTAGTGTAGTGGTGTGTACATTTTATGTAGTGGATAAAATGACCGGTCGAAATTTGCGGTTTGTTTGAATCAAGTTTTAAAAAACTAAACCGTTTGTTGTTACATTTGATTGAAAATTATCTTGTTACCCATTTAAGGAACTTTATAGTTAATAAGAGCTGTTCAATGGTATATAATGTAGTTTATTTATTTTTATTTTATGTTTTGTGTTATTTTTCATTGAAATCAAATTTATATAAAAATAAATTATTTAGGATTTTTGCGTTCTATATTGACCAATTCTACTGAGAAAATTAACGGCTGGTTTGGCGTAATTTTTGGAGGAGCCCCCCTGGTTCCATATCCCAAATGTGGAGGAATCAGCAATTTTCGCTGTTCACCAATACACATTCTACAAGTACCTCTTATGGTGAGTTTGTTATTAATTTTCTTAAAATTAAGTACCCTATTAAACCTTGGTCCCAACCTTTGATAACCTGTTCTGACCCTAAAGTAAATGTAAAAAGCTTTCCATTAAAATTGCTATCGAACTTTTCTCCAGAAGGAAAACTACCCTGGGGAAATTATAGAATTTATGCAATGCAAATGCTTTATTATTTGTTTAGTACCTGATAAAAAACGTGCAGTAAATCTCCTTTTTTTGATTTAATTGTACAATTTTTAGGTCTCTTCTTAATTCCAATTTGAAGTTTTTTGGAGTTTGTATTATTAGAAACATTTAGGACAAGTAATAATAATATTATAAAGCTGATCCTTACAGTAATGGTACTTTTCATTTTTAGATTATGCTGAAAAAGTTTATTTTAAGTCGATTTTAAAAATTATGTAGTACACTGCAATTTTTCACCTGTTTACCACTGAGAGTTGTTTCATCCTCATCATAATGATTGTAACCAAGTGATCAACGTTTCCCACTCCAAATTTTATAAATAATTAAATTGTATTTTAAGAAATATTCGAGCTTGTTGCTTGGTGCTCCAAGCTCGTGGTTATAATCTTATTTGCTTTCTTTTTTGAACCTTTTTAATTACTTCTGATTTATATTTATAATTGATTGTATGTTGGGAAGTAACGACACGTGTTTCTGTTCTTCCAAGAATACGAAAGTGATCAATTCACTTGATATAGTTGAGTTGAAACACGTGTCGCTACACAATAAAATTATAAGGAGTCAAAAAAGCAAAAAAAAGAAGGATAAGATATTATTTAATTAATGTAGGAACACATTTATTAATCTATTGTTTTTTTTTCACGTTTGAAAATAACACGTGTGTCTGACTGTATGTCGAGTGTTGTTTTTTTAGACACTGATTGATTACGAAATGGATTGTTATTCAACAAAAATTAGAAAGTGTAAAATTAACAAGACTTTTAATCGTACTTTGATAACGTATATAACACCAGCCAAAATCGAAGGCCACGTATAACTCACCTGAAAAAACACCTAATACAAGTAGCATTATATTTGCAAGTATATTTGACCTTTTGACCGTCTGCGTAAGTTTCACTATTTGTTTTACTATTTAGGCTAAAAGATTTTTTTGAACTGCATTACATTAGAATCTTACATAGGCTTTAAAGGAAATATTCGCGTAGTTATTTATCATAAAGTATTTTTCAGAAGTTGTACTTGCAAGTCATAGTGAGCATTACATTTCAAAACATATAAGAGGCCAAGGCTGTTGAGGAAATATTGTAGTTTGCAGTAGACTCATAAGAAGACAAATTCAGTCTGTACTCCAGTTGCTTTATATTACATTTAAAATGCCTTGTCCCTTTTTAAATAAGTTGAGTGCTAATTATGTTCGAACCTATGCTTTAAATTTGTTAAAAACATATGGAAATCAATGTCCAGTTATGTCTAGAACTTTCACTTCTCTTGAGGATGTGCAAGTAAAAGAAAATAGAAAAGGTTTGTAAAGGAAATATGTTTTCATTTAAAGCTTTTACTGAAATATGTATTTGTTATAGTTAATTATATTTTGTTGTAGAAAGTGAAGTCAAAAAAAATTCCAAATGCCCATTTTTATCAGAACTTGACAAGTTAATGATTAAAGAAGTAACTGAAGATGATACAATTGATATTGGTGATCAAAAGAAGTGTAAGTATTATTAAAAAATTAAGGTGGAATTACCTTCAACCCTTCTTTACATAATTTCTAGATATATTTCCATATGAAAACTTTTTCCATGACCAAATAATGAAAAAGAAAAGAGATCATTCATA